GAAAGTTATGAATGCACTGGTAAGTGTGAGCCATACATTTATTCGTTGTTTTTTTATTTCTTTATACAAAACATTTTAAAAGTATTTTTATTTTGAATTTACAGTTTAGTATTAAATAAGTATTTTACAAAGTTAAATAAAATTGTTGATGAAAGACAAAGATGGTTATCATGTATAATGTGTATGTAAATTTTAGAGCATGAAATTGGCATCCCATGGTGGCTCAACAATTAAGAGGACTGTTTGGAATTTAATTCCAATGGTGATTGGCACCAATATAGAAAAAAAAATAAATTGGTCAGGAGCTAACAATAAGCTTGCTTTGAAAACAATGCCTTTAAAAAAAGTTTTATTGGGTAAGAAGAAATTTCATTCTATGTATAACATTTGTATAAATATATATATTATGCTGATTCAAAAAACAACTTTTTTTTATATAGTCCGTTCCTCAAACGTAAATGTATTTTATATAATAAAAAACAAGATTTAAAATTTTGGTGCTGGAAAACAAATATTAATCATTCTATATGCAAATTATTTTTTCAAAATTTACTGCACATAAAGTTAAAAAAAAAATGTTTTTTTTTAACTTACAAGATAAAGTAAATGTTAATTATTTTTAAATCTTGTGTTTTATTATATATTTATTTTATCTTGTGTTGATTATAATTATTTTTAACATTTAGTTGTGCATCTTTTGAGTACTGGGCTGACATTTTGATTTTTTTCCCAATAATATTAGGAACTCGGTACTTTTGCAACCCCTACAAATATTTTTTTTTTAAAAAACTTCAAATTTAGCGTTATTAATGCCATAAATTATCGTGATTCAAAAGCGACTTTTTTTTAAATAGTCCACTGTTCAACCTTAAATGTGTTCTCTATAATAAAATTTTATTATAGAGAACACATATTAGGTTGAACAGTGGACTATTTAAAAAAAAGTCGTTTTTGAATCACGATAATTTACACAAATATGTTTATATGTATAGTAATATATATATATATATATATATATATATATATATATATATATATATATATATATATATATATATATATATATATATATATATATATATATATATATATATATATATATATATATATATATATATCAACTATTTTATATATATATATATATATATATATCAACTATTTTATATATATATATATATATATATATATATATATATATATATATATATATATATATATATATATATATATATATATATATATATATATATATATATATATATATATATATATATATATATATATATATATATATATATGTATGTATATATATATGTTTAATTATTTACTAATGTATACATAAATATATTCCATATATACAATGTAGTCACACTTAGATGCTGTTAAAATAAATCCTTCGACTTCAGGAGCAGTGTCTGAAGAGGTTGAACGTTGGATAAAAAGATACTTTCAACTCTCCGGTGATCGAAATGGCGGCCGTAAAGCTCGGGAAGATCTTAAAAATTCGTTGCAAAAATAAATATTTGATTCATTCAACGTTTTTGTTTTTATTATTTCATTATTAATTAAAACACTTTTGGTTTACAATAAATTTCAAATATACTTATTTGTTTGAATTTTATGGAATAACACATTTTCACGGAAACGGCTAATAATAACGTGCTAGTGTATGTCGTAAAAGTATCTAGTAAAAAGTAACGCTTTAGAGCTGACACGCAAACACGAAAGATTGTTGGAAAATGATCACGGATCAGTACTGTCAACAGATGCTGGCAAGCGATCGCGGGCCAGTGCTGGCAAATAATCGCAGGCCAGTGCTGGCGAACGATTGCGGGCCAATACTGGCCCATGGCTAGCGGGCCAGTGCTGGCCCAATGGCCGTTTTGATGCAGGCCCGTGATCGACGGCCGTCATCGCGCCGTAGTCGCAAGCGGAACTGGGCCAGCATTGGGCCGCTAGCGGGAGGCTGTCTGGGTATTTATTTATAAATATAAAATAAAGATTTTCTTTAATTTTTGTCTCTCAATATTAACAAACAACTTATTATGTTATTTTTTACAAAGTAGCTTGTTGCTACAGCAGCTACATCGGTACCCAAATTTGAGAAAATTTATGTTTACAAATTTATTTTGAAATTTTGATTGTTTAGTTACTTTAGTCAAATACACTTTAAATGTTCAAATGTTATTTTAATATCCAATTATTTGATGATGGTTATTCTGTAAAGTCTGTAATCTTAAAACATAATATGGAAGGTACCGTATATATATTTCTGCATTATTTTAAGATCTTTATATACACCTGCTGCCTTTTACACAAAGGCAGCAGGTGTACACTGCCGTTTCCAAACCCACCTGGAAAATATTATTTGAAGGTTTGTTAAACTTATAGCTTTGCGCTTTATTTTAATTTGCTTTTCTCTTATGATTATTTTGTAATTTATACAATTTATACCAATTCTCTATAATTCTTTTGCTTTAATAGTTTTACATATTAATTTTTCTTTTTGATTTATGTTCATATTTTATTATATTTATTCATTTAACTTTTTTTTATTTGTAAATTGTTTTGAATTCTTTTTTTTTTTTATTATAAGCAAAAGAGATTTTTTTTAATTATAATCATTTTATACCTATAATTAATTTATATCTATAATCAAATCTTTTTTGTAAGTCATTTAATCTAATATGAATTATTACATTCTTTTGTCGCTTGAGGTCAAACACGCATTTTTTAATAGCTGTTTAATTTTTGTAAGGATTAATTTTTATCCTTTATTTTTTCCTTTAGAATTTAAATGATTCGTCAAAAATTAGGTTTTCGTTTTTTTCTCACCATAGTAAAAAAACTTACATAAGTCTCCATAAGCAAAAGGTGGGTGGGAAAAATTTCGAAAAAATAATTAACGTCCCCTCCCGAGTAGCTAAGAGCAGTTTACTATACAGTAATTTACACCTCCCGTGCACCTAAAAGTAGTTTACTATACAGAATTAAATTCAGTCCTAAAACGCAGATCTGTAAAACTTACAAGAACATTTTTTTTTTGGTAAGTCAAATAGATACCTAATGCACGGTGCTTATATAGTTTAGTATAGTTTATTATAGTGCTCAATAATTTAAAATGATTACAACAATCCGTAAATTTATAGACTTTTGAAAAATCATAAATGTTTGCAATGTTTAAATTACCAACAAAGATGTGCTGCATCAGGCACCTCTATACTAACAGTCTTAAGGTATTCGTGAACATCTGCAACACAAGTACCATACTTTTAGAACATAATAGAATACTGGAAACATATATGAAGAGAGTTTATTTCCAGTTAACTTTTAAAATTTTTTTTCAATTAATTTAAATATAAATACCCTGTGGAATATAAATAAATGAAATACCCTGTATAAATACCACAAATAGTAACTGACGCAAAGTCACGTCAATTACTATTTTAAGTGTTTCCAGAAGGTTTGTCAAACACGACTTTTTGAAAATGAAACCGTACTTTTTTTATATATATAAGACAGTTTATAATACCATGATTTAAAATCTGGTCTCGAACGAAAGGCTCCATAATTTTATAACGGATACTAGTGAGTGATATTGGTCTGAAATAAGATGCTTTTAGTTTGGAGCCCTTCTTGAATATTGGTGTTATATTAGAGCACTTCCAGTCATCTGGGACCTTACCTTCAGAAAGTAAAGTCTGAAAAAAAAAGGTTAAGTCAAACAGGAAACACTGTTATACAACACATATATATATAAAGTAGTAGAAAATCACCTAACAAATTTTTTTTCATTTAACACTGTATTTCGTCAATAAAGACTCATCAGAAATCAATGATTTGTTTCTGATGATATAATTGCTCTGTTCTTTTAAGAACATTAAGCACTCTATTTTGTAGAATACAATTTAAAAATTGTTTAAATATATATATATATATATATATATATATATATAAATATATATATATATATATATATAATATATATATATATAAAATATATATATATATATATAAAATATATATATATATATATATATATATATATATATATATATATATATATATATATATATATATATATATATATATATATATATATATATATATATATATATATATATATATATGGCATCTGCTAATAGCGCATTTACTATCTGAATGTCTACTTAAGTATTTCAATAAATTTGAAAAAAACTGAACCCGATAATCTGTTAGCAAACAGCTCTTTGTAGTATAATACAACCTTGGACGCAACTGGCAAATTATTCAATTGTATACATCAATATTTAACTTAGTTTAAGCAAAGTTTTTTACTAAAAAAATAAAGTTCTGCTAAAGTTTTGGTTGGCTTTATGTTGGCATATGAGATTGGGTCAACATAAACTGTAATTAGTGTGCTATCTGGGTTGTACCTAGAGTCAACCAATTTTATTTGAAAACTATAAAGTTTTAAGTTATGCTTATAAATCAGATATTTAGCTACAAAAAATTTTTTTTTTTTAATCCTATTTTGATTCTCAGAGGACATTGCCACAGCATATTATTAATCCCTTAAATTAGCTTTTAGCCCTTTGCAACATGGCTTTGTATATAACTTTTTAGTTGTTACCTTAAATTGTATAAATCCACCCTCCTTAAACTACTCTTTTGTTTGCTTAGTCAACATAAAAGTGTCATTATTCATTATAATAAAACAATTAAATATAATTAATCAATTATAATAAAAATAGTAACAATAATAATATTAAGAAGGAAAATAGTATAAAACACTACAGCAAAAGAATTTAAGCATTGAAAAAAGTAACGAATAAAATTTAAAAAAACAAGGTTATATTAACAGACTGGCATCAGAATAATTTATTTAATGACAATAACAACAACAAAAACAAGAATTATTATTATTATTGTATTAATAATAATAATTTATATTTTTAAATATATAACAATGTATAGCAATTTATACTTTTATATTATAAATTATATAAATTAAAATTATACAAACATATTTGACAAATAGATAGCAATTTGAAGTTAAGATTAACTAGAAAAAAAAAGAAAGTATAAAGTTAAAGAGGAAGGAAACAGTTGACAGAAGACTTGTAAAGTTGTAGGTTGTATGAATTGGGAAAACATGAAGATGGAAGTGAGTTCCAAAGCGTTAAAGTGCAGGTAAAAAAGTTTGACAAATTAAAAAAATTTTTAGAGCATGCAGTAAAGGGACAGATACAGTAAAAGATTCATTCTTGCTTGATTCATCATTCAGCAAAGTCTCATACTTTGCTGAATGATGAATCAAGCAAGAATGAGTTTTAGTTGATGAAACTAGAGATGATAGCTCTTTTAAGCGAGAAAACAGAAAGAGATGCAACTTCACAACGATGGAAGAGAGACTCAATCTCGGCAGATAGAGCGGTTTTAACTACGTTAACATTGCATTTTTTGAACATTTTTTAGAAAAGAAAGAGCATCATTAGAAGAACCAGACCAAATAAAACAACAGTATTCCATACAGTGATGAATAAGAGATTTGTAGAGGTAGAGAATAGTATCAGGAGTAAGAAAATAGCCAGCACGATAAAGAGAAGCAACCTTAGCAAATGCTAATTTAGCAATCGATTTTCATAAGATCAGATTCATAAGGTCAGTAGTAAACTATAATCCAAGAAGAGAATTGTGTTTTGAATTGTGTTTGATTTGAATACTTGCTATTTGAAATGTATTTGATTTAAATTGTGATATTTGAATTGTGATATTTGATTTGTGACTGCCACAATTGTGCAATTGACTACTACTAATTGTTTATGAGTTTTGATATAAGTTCAGTTTAGTTAGTTCAGTTGCCAATTTATCAGTTCAGTTGCCAATATATCAGCTTTTATGTCTTAGTTCTTTTTCAGAACTGAACTTAGTTCAGTTGCCAATTTATCAGCTTTTATGTCATTAGTTTGTGAAATGGAAACATTTTTTATGAAGTTTATGAAATTTTTTTTTTTATTCGCATCAATAAAATTTTAAAATGTCGTTTTCAGTTTTGTACAACCAACATAAAAAACATGTGCTTTATTTTGAAAAAAAACATTGTTCTGTTTTTTTTTTTGTTATTAAAAGACATTGTTCTGTTTTTTTGTTATTAAAAATTTTTATTATTTCAAAAAACTTTAATCAGAGACATAAACCTACGCAATAAGTCAAAGCAAAAAAAATTCCACATATGAACAATCATAATTGTTATATAATGATACTGTTTTTTCAAATTAAAAAAAAAAAAATAATTAATTGTAAAATCATCATGTTATTTTGATGTCTTTTATTAATTTTTTAAATTGATTGTAGTTTGTCAATATCTTAGAGGGTACAAAAATAGTTTAAGTTAAGTTTAAGTTATTTAATAATAGTTTAAATTATTTAATTTAAGTTTAGAAACAAAGACTTATTTGTCATGTTATTATATTGCTATTGTATGATTTATTAAGTTGTGTTGTTATATTATAATAATATTATGTAATATGCTATTATATAGCTATTTACCACGTTCGATTCCCACCACGTCCCTGGTAGTACAGCGCTCAACTTGTTTCTCTGCGCAGCGGCCTTGTTCGTCAAGTTTCGTGTTTCGGAGTTATAGAGTTGAGAGAGGGTTATAACCACAAATAAGTAGCCTCCTCGTCTGTAGTGGCATTCTCGGCCTTGAAGAGGTGAATTAAAAAAAAAAAATAAAATCAAACATTTGCTAACCTGCTGGTTAGATTTATTGCTGAAAGCAAAATTCAGAGAGAGAGGTCATTCGTTTTTTATGAGCAGGTGCAGATAGAATCGGGGAAAAAAAAATAGAGCAGTCAACAGCAAATAAAAAAATAGAGCAGTCAACAGCAAATAAGAAAAATTTAGTTCAATAATTTATAAATAAAATTTATACGTACAGTTCAATGTAAATAAAGATGTAGAAAAAGAAAAAAAAAAGATCATTGCAAAACTTATTGTTTTTGTGGCGTTTTTCATTTTTGCGTATTGCACCTTTATTGCGTATAGCGGATATTGAAATAATTAAGTGTTCAATTTTACATTTATTGTAAAAATTAAAAAAATTTAAATTTCAAAGAAAAGGTGAAGAATTTTCATAGCATTAATTTTAACGTAATCCCAATAAAAATATAATTAAATATAGTAATTATTGCAATAAAACTTCACTACAGAAGTTTAATTGCAATATAATATATGCCAATGGTAGTAAATATGCCAATAATTCCAGTAATATTAAGTGTTTTGGTAGAAATTAGTTAAGATTTTTAACTGACTTTAAAACAGAATCACTCAACGTAATAGCATTTAACAACGTAATATCAATGTAAAAATATTTCAATAAAAATTGGTAAGGAACTCTTATTAATGGAGTGAGAATTTTTAACAATAATTATATATAAATAAAATGAGAAAAAATACATACAGATAATATAATAAAGATTTTTTTACCAATGTGTATAACTGAGATTTCACCAAGATATCCAGGAATTCTTGACAGTATTGTATCCTCATCAGATATATCTTCATCAGTAATTTCCAATGTTGACGATTTAAAATAATCTTGCACAATCGATTGTTCTTTTACAAAATTTTTCACAGCTTTACTAGCAAGTTCTAACACAATCTTTAGATTCACTTGTTCTTTATTTTTAGCATCATCTTTTGAAGTCTTTTCTAATTCTTTTTTGTATATTTGGCCTAATGTATCATATGTACAATGATTTTCATTTACATAAACTGCTTTCTGTGCATATTCTTTTGCGTGATCAAAATAATTGTATTCTAAATAAAGTCTGGAGAGTGTTTGATAAACATTTGAAATACTTTGATTTAAATCCTCACGCGAATCTTCCAATATATCAATAAATTTTTCAAGTATTGAAACGCATTCATTCATATTATGTTCATCTTTAATTTTTAAAATTAACATAGAAAATGATTCCTTGACGGGTTCAATCCTATTCTTTTGTATTGACGCATCATACTTTTTTTGTCTTCGAACAGCCATTTTACAAAGATCTATCATCAACTTGGATTTTAAAAACTGATTTTTGATAAATGCTTTATCTTCTAGAAGCTCTGTTACAGCAGACAAGACAGATGCGTTTTTTTTTTTTAAAATTTGTTTCAAAATAATCTTTGCTACTGGTAAATGAGTTATTTTTAAGATAGAATAAACTCCTGGTCCAGATTTACTCTCCTCAGTCTGTCTCACAAGCATTTGAAAGTATTCACATGTAAAATTTTTCATATCATGAGCTTTTATTTGCCACTCATTTCCAAGAACTTTCATGGCATGAGACACAGAAATATTTCCATCTTCAATAAAACATTTAAAAACTGCAAGGTACAAAAGAAGTTTTGATTCTGTTGGGTAAACACTGTCCAGATGATCAATGATTTTATCCACAATTTTAACAACATAATTATTATAATGACTTGAAACATCACTGTTCATAAAAGTTAAAAAACCTAACATATCCTCAAAAAAAAGACCTTCATTTTCAATTATTTTTTCATATTGATTTAATTTGGATTCAAACTTGACTTTTTCTTTTGATGTAAATTTTTCATTAAGATTTTTAGAATTACGAACACCAAGTTTTCCATTTTGTATATATAGTATTATACCAATTGTAGTTTCAGATAAAATTCTTCTGTCATTTATTTCATTCTGAATTTTAATTTGAAGAATTTCAGCAATTTCTGTTGTTGTGTTATCAAGTAGAACAAGAAAAGGGAGACAAGTTTGACTTTTGTTTAAGCCATTAATAACGTCATCACTCTCTCCAAATGCTCTAAATGATAAAATGTGATTTACAATATCCTCGATACCATTAGCATCTAAACGATGACCATCAATTAATAAGCATCTAAATTTAGATCTGTATTGCCATAGTACATGCATTAAAGCTGTAGTTGCCCCAGTTCCAGGTAAATGCCCAACTCCAAATAGAAAAATACATATATGCTTGAAAGTAACACTTTGATCAATTTTGCTTTTAATTTCATCTACAAATTCTCTTTCAATGAAAGCACTAGGAATAGCTTTTTTAAGAGGCAATTTGCTAATGTTATCAGAAAAAAAAAACAAACTCCAAGTTGTTTCTTTTCCTTGCATGAAAGTTTTCATTCGCTCACTAAACAAGCTTGTCAAATTTACACTTGTTTCTGAAAACAATTCGTCACATTCATTTGCTGCTAGAATAGTGGCACCATAATTTTTAAACATTTCAGAAATTTCATTTTTAATGATGACTTGAGTTTTTCGTGATGTTAATAAATATCTTTTACTTATTTGAACACTTTTGTATTGCTGAATATATGCAGAAAATTCTGACCATTTTAAAGTCACAGATTTTTCTCTCAAAAAATCACATTTACTTGAATCAAATTCTTGTAAAATGGCATCTTTTACAAAACTTAAATGGTTTTTTGATTGCGCAAGAAACACAAATTCATTAAGAATATCAGATTGAATGCATATGTTTTTTAAAAAATACTCTAATTCCTTTTGATTTAAATTTGAGCAAGGACAAATGATAAATATCATATCTGAAGGAGAAACTAAATAATCTGAACCAGTAAGCTTATCAAACAGCCGTTTAATTTCAGAAAAATATTTTTCTCTCCATAAATAAAAACTGTGCTGGTTAGGTTCTGAACTTTCAACACATGTAATGTGCAACGTTTTGGTTCCATATTGACAAGATTTTAAAAACATTTTGATAGTTGATTCATTTTGTAGTTTTTCTTTGAAATCATTAACTAAATAAACACAAGTCTTATATATATATACATATATATATATATATATATATATATATATATATATATATATATATATATATATATATATATATATATATATACATATATATATATACATATATATATATATATATATATATATATATATATATATATATATATATATATATATATATATATATATATATATACATACATATATATATATATATATATATATATATATATATATATATATATATATATATATATATATATATATATATATACATATATATATATATATATATATATATATATATATATATATATATATATACATACATATATATATATATATATATATATATATATATATATATATATATATATATATATATATATATATATATATATATATATATATATATACATATATATATATATATATATATATATATATATATATATATATATGTATATATATATATATATATATATATATATATACATATATATATATATATATATATATATATATATATATATATATATATATATATATATATATGTATATATATATATATATACATATATATATATATATATATATATATATATATATATATATATATATATATATATACATATATATATATATATATATATATATATATATATATATATATATATATATATATATATATATATATATATTTATATAACATATCTCAAATTAAATTATCATGAAAAAAAAAAAAAAAACCTTATCAAATACCATTGTTTAACATATTAAATAATTTAGGTAATTAATTTAAAAAAATCAAAATCATGTTTGTGTAAATTTTAAGATTAAAACAGCAACAAAGGTAAGTCATTTTTGTAACAAACTATGTCCCTGCTATACTATTAACTATTTGAGAGGCCAAAAGAAAATAGTTGAATACTTTTAATTAACATTCTAAGAAAAAGAGCTTGAATTTCAAAAGTGAAAAAGCCAAGTAAAAGGTTGTTTTAGTAAAGCTGCAAAAAATGTTAAGTTGTTGCCACAAAACTATTGATGGAAGTTGAGCAACGTTATTAATGGCTTAAAAAATATGAAAAAATCAATTTTTTGCTATAAACAAACAAAAAGATTAAACAGAACCCTAAAAAAAAAGCAAGTGTTTCTGAGAACAGTAAATGCCATTTGGGACCATTTTTTAAACTTAAATTTACGCAAAATGACTCATTTTTTCATAATGTTTCATAAAAGCATAGGTTGTATAGAGTAAAAAGAGGTAAAATTTTTGTTATAATACTGACATGAGAATCTAAGAAATAAAATAACATTAAAGTAAAAAGATATATGTGTAGTAAAAGTTACGCTAAATAAGAATCCTTTTTCAGAATTGAAAAATTTCGGGGTAAAAAAACACTGATAATTTTAACACTCAGCTTTTATTTGCATCTAATTAATTAAATAACTTTATAAGTCTATTATTAATTATTTTTTTTTATCATTAGTATTTCTTATTCTTTACTATAAACTACTTTCATGTACAATGTAACTATTTCATGTACAAATCGAAATCAATTTAAATCGAGTAAGACAATCAAAATCAGTTCAAAATGCTAAAACATTATCATAAAAAAATCAAACTCTAAAAAACAAAAAAGAACTCTGCAGAGCAAATAAGTATCGCAGTTAGAAGAATAAATAGTGGTGAAATAAGTTTGTGCAAAGCATCTCAAATATACAGAATATACAATATTCTAAAAAGCACCTTGTCAAATAGTGTAAATAATCGTGTGAATTTGCAAGGATCTGGTACAGCAACTACTCTAAGTAGTGTGGTTAAATTAACATTGGTAAAAATGCTGGCAAAATGATCTAATTGGGGTTTTGGTAGAAGAAAAAGTTAAAAAATAAGATATTGTTTTAAGTTATTTAAAAGTTACAAATCAATCCAATTTATTTAAAAATGACCTGTCATATCCGAGTTTGGCATATGCCTCATGTTGTTATTATTGTTATTATTATTATATAGTGTGTGTATTATGTTATTATTATTATATATTGTGTTATTATATTATTGGGCTCATGTTATTATTACCACACACATGACTCATGTTATTATTATTACTTGAAATAAATATGGCGGTCTGCACGCCTTAAACTTAATGTTGTATTCAATTCTTAATTTAACACTATCCTCAGAATATTATATGGTACCAGAAATAAACCTGTGTTTAAAATAAAATGGAACAACTTGGACCATTAGAGGCCATGAATTTAAATGGCAATGTTTCAGTAAACTGGCAAAAATGGAAGCAGAGATGGAACCTTTATAAAATAGCTTCAGAAATCAAGGACAAGAAAGAATATATTTAATGTGCCATTTTCCTTCATATGATTGGCAACGACGTTTTAAGAGTATATGATATATTTGTTTTTAAAATCAAAGAAAACAATAAATTAACACCTATAGTTTAAAAGTTTGAACGTTATTTCAGCCCAAAAAATATACAAAAAGTATACAAGACAGCAGACTATTTACTGACTTCTTGATTGATTTATGAAATAAAGCTAAAACATGCTAGTTTGGAACTCTCAAAGAAAGCTTATTACATGACAGTAGCCTGTGGTATCGACTGGTATAGAAAAAACAATCAATTTCATGAGAGCATATGAAACATCAAAAACACAATTAAAAGCCTTCGAAAATACCATCCAGGCAGATTCTATAAACAAACATGGAAACAGAGCTAATTTTAACTCCCTAAAGATTGATAGACTTTTACAAAAATCTTGCTAATACTGTGGATTGCAACATCCTACCTCAGTTTGCCCAGCATATGGCCTAAAGTGCACAGCATGTGGAAAACTAAACCATTTTGCTAGAGTATGCAGATCCAAAACTAATCGTTTTAATACTAATAATGTAGACCAAGTTGATCAAAAGAAAGTCAGCCTCAACGTTGCAGAGTTATATATTTATCATGCTGTAGCATCAATGGAATGTACTGACAATATAAAAACAAATATTACAATCATTAACAAAAATATAACATTTAAATTAGATACTGGAGCCCAATGTAACGTCCTTCCATACAACGTCTACAACTTTATTCCTGGAAGACCTCCTCTCAAAAAAACAATAACTCAACTAAAATCATAAGGTGGAAACAATACTCCTGTACTAGGAATTTGCAACCTGACTGTTAAAAAGAATAACATTTTACGAGTGTGGCAACCTTTTGTTGTATCTCTTTCTGATGTAAAACCACTTCTTGGTCTAAGTTCCTGCAAATATTTTGAAATACTAAATATTAACGATGTTGAAATTGATAAAGCTAACATTTCAAAACATAGTTTTTACCGGCCTTGATTTAGTTAAAGAAAACTATCATATTGCAGTTGTTAAAATTGCAATCCCAGTCATTCATGCACCAATGAAAGTACCAATGACTGTCCTACCTAAACTTGAAAGGACACTTGACCATCTAGTAAAAGCCACATTTTTCTCAAAAATTTCTAAACAATGTAACAATTTCATGTACAAACCGAAATCAATTTAACCATCTAGTAAAAGCCACATTTTTCCCAAAAGTTTTTAAACAATGTAACAATTTCATGTACAAATCGAAATCAATTTAAATCGAGTAAGACAATCAAAATCAGTTCAAAATGCTAAAACATTATCATAAAAAAAGCAAACTCTAAAAAACAAAAAAGAACTCTGCAGAGCAAATAAGTAAAGTGTGGCAATTTAACCATCTAGTAAAAGCCACATTTTTCTCAAAAATTTCTCAACAATGTAACAATTTCATGTACAAATCGAAATCAGTTTAAACCGACACCTTGGATACACTCAATGGTCATCATAGAGAAAAAAGATGAATCCTTAAGATTGTGTATTGATCAGAAAGAACTTAACAAGTTTGTTTTAAGACAATACAAAACCACTCCATCTACAGAAGAAATCTCTAGCAAATTTTGCTGCTAAAAAGTTTTCACTGTCAGAGGCATGGCTGATTGTTATTGGCATATAAAACTAGATGAACTTTCCTCAGAGCTATGCACATTTAACACTCCTTATGGCAGATATAAATTCAACCACATGCCATTCAGCATATCATGCGCATCGGATGCTGCACAGGAGATGATTGAACTTAACTTGGGTGATATCCCTAATGTTCTGGCTATCCACAATTCATCCCAAATATGTCAGAGATAACAGCTCCCCTCTGCCAGCTACTTAAAAAAGTCATACACTGGTCATGGAACCATGAACGTACCAGTGCTATGGAAAAAATTAAAAAGGTCCTTTCATCTTCTCCTGTACTCTCATTCTTCAACACGTCAAAAGATGTGCAAATTCAGGTAGACGCATCTTCACATGGATTGGGAGCCTGTATAATGCAAGAAGATCACCCAATCAGCTATACTTCTCGTAGTTAAACCATAACAGAACAGAGATATGCCAGAGATAGAGAAAGAACTTTTTAGCAATAGATTTTGTTTGTGAACATTTCAACCAATATACCTATGGGCGACAAGTCTCAATAGAAAGTGATCACAAACTTCTTGAATATATCTTGCACAAACCGCTATCAGAAGCACCACCTCACATACAGAGACTTCTGATAAGACCAGGGTTGGCATTAAAAAACCCGCCCAATAAAACCCAAAAAAACTCGCCTAAAACACCCTATAAAACCCTGGAAAATCTGGGTTTTATTGGGTTTTTTTAAAGATATTTAGTAAGTTTATGAACTATTATAACCAACTTTAACATTATAACTATAATATTATCAACTAAAATAATTATTAACTATTACTATTAACTAAATTATTATTAACTATTATAACCAACAATAACAGCTATCAGGGCAGGTTTACTATTATTTGAATCATTATTTGGAAATACATTATTATAATTTTTATTCAAATATTTTTATCGATTAAAATTTTTATTACTTTATATTATTCACCTCCTAAGTTGAATTTAAATGAGTAGCAGTGCCCAGAGATG